TATTTAATTAATTCTTAGATTAAATAAATTATATTAAGATATTATTAAATAGATTTTAATAAATATTATTGATTAATAAATTAAATTTTATTCTTAAAGAGTTATATAGTTAAGATTAAAAGTTAAATTCTAAATAACTTCTTCAATATATATATAATTTCAAATTTTTTAACATAATAATATATATGATAGTAAATAAACAATTTTTATAATATTTGAATTAATATATGAAAGATCATTTAGTTTAGAAATTAAGTTTAATAGATTATATGGAAGGATTTCTAGAAAAATCAGATTCTAAGAATTTTTGACTAAAATTAAAAGCTTTTTTATTGAAATTTTTAATTATTTTTAGTTTTTTTATGTAGAATTTAATGTTTGATTAAATGTAACTTATATTAAATGACTAATATGAATATAATAATAACTTTCTAGAAAAAACTATCTCTTTAAGAACTGATAACATAAGAAAGAAATCAAAAAAAAAATGAGAATTGTATCATCACATATGATGAATTAAGAGTGAAAAAAACTGGTAAGATGAATAGAATCAGATGGAGGTAATGAGTAAAACTACTCTAAGAACATCTAGAAAAATTCTTTGATTGTATATAATACAATATTATTTATCACCTGTATTACATCCTTTGCATTTTTCCTTTTTATAAGTATTCTGAAACTTGAATTTTTATAGTAGTAAAAATTATATTTATCACATAATAACTATCCCATCCTTAGATTTAGGATTAGGTCAGGTTTAGGAATTATGTATAATGCAGGCTAAAAGTATGTGATTAAAGAATTTTTTGGATGCTCTTAAGGTAGTTGATGAGTAGAGTATATCATGTATTATGATGAGTATGGTTTATCATACTGAATTATTAGGAGTTAGTATTAATGCTAGTAGGTTAGAATAGTTTAGAGCAAGTTGAGAGGTATTACAAAAGGAGTAGAGTAGGGTGGAGGTGACGAGTAGAGTATATCACGTGTTAAGATTTTGAGTATAGTTGTTATACTGAATTGTTAGGAGTTAGCTTTAATGCTGGTAGATTATAGTTAGATTAGGGTTAGGTTAGGGTTGTTGAATATGAAAAATATACTCAACATTATAAGACGTGATATATTCTACTCTTTTTCGTATCACTCCAGGTTGAGTAGTATGAAAAAAAATATACTCAACAACATAACACGTGATATACTCTACTCATCACCTCATTTCACATAGAATTACCCCGCATTCCAGTTAACGTTGGAGCCTCTCAACTCTGTTAACTAATTATACTTCCTAGAAGAACTTTCCTTCGCTCGAATTTAAAATAATTGAAATCTAAAATAGCGTTAGCAAAGATCATCCATCCACCCTTAGTCATTTCCTAAAAGCACCCTGGACTCGTGTTTTACGTTAGGTGTCGACCACAGCATCTCGAGGCAATAAGATCCCTTTACTACTCACACAAAGGACAAACCCAGGGCTTGCGAACATTTATGTAAATGCATACTTCTTCACAAGGACGTTTAGCATAAGTTGAAAAGAAAAATATATTTCTCCTTTCGAGCGTAATAAAGGTGAAAAAACCTCCCGCTGGTTGCTTCTCAATACAAACTCACGTTTACCCGTCCACCTATTTTACTTACGTGCATCACATAGAATTCCTTTCGAAAAACGGTTGAAAACAAAATAACTAATATAATGATGTTAAAAAAAAAAGAGAGAATACTTTACGCGCTAAACGCACGTCACGCAATAAAAGAGTTTAAATGATGACTCAATAAATCATGTGATCTGTTTAATGAATATACCCTGGCTTAGGTTACTATTCTAGACCCTGTATAAATGAAGCTTCTATAACGTTTTTCCAAGTGTAAATTTAAATGTGCGAATATTGATTGAACATTGTAGTTTAAAAAAAGAAGGAATTTAGGCATTTTGAAGAATGTTTGATAATAGAGATTTTAATTGGAACACAATTTTATATGTGGCTGTTTTCAAAAAAGCTTTTTTTTTTTTTAATTTTTATAATTTATTAATGTATACAAATGTTGTCTTATTTACAAAATTAATTTCGTAAATAATCGGGGCGTTAATACTGGAAAAATCCAATACTTTTTTTATTCTTTAAAGAAAATTTTAGAGTGCAAAAAGCATCGCATAAGGCATTTGACTCTATCTAAAAATAAATAATATAATCTCATGATTATTTAATATATAAATTTTATTAGATAACGTTCCTGTTACGCCATTTTCTAATACCAGCAATTAATACCAAAGTATAAGCAGCTGCGGCAAAGATGAATCTTCCGGTACTACCAACACCGTTCGATTTTTTGCTTGATTCGCCTTTCAAAGGACCCCCCCTAAAGGGTGAATTTCCTCCAACGAATAAAATAGTTTGTATAAAGGTCAACCAAAAAGCAGAAGCAGAAAATCTATTGATAGATCTGTTATTATTATGATTTTCCCTTTCGTTTGATAAGGATTCCACGGATCTATCTGTTTCACTACCATCTTGAACAAAAGTTTCTCCACTAATCGAGGAATCAATTTTTCTATGAAATTGGTATAAAGAAGATGATGAGGAAGATGAAGAGATTGGTGGTGTTAACGATCTTGTTGGTACTTTAGGTATGAACGGGGTATGTGAAAGTATTTTTGAAACGCTTTGATATGGCATTTTTGCAAGTAATTTATTCAACTTTTTTACGGATGCTGGCATATCTCTTGTTGACACTAGGAATAATATTTGTTGGATTAGTAAGCTTAAAACTTTTTTTTTTTTTTTAAAAAAAAAAAAAAAAAAAAAAAATTTAAGCTTTATATGTTATCACTAACCTAATGCAATTACAGATTTAGGAATCCATCCTTTTGGATTAGCATCAACAATTTGAGTTACATGGCACTTATTTGGCTGATCTTGAATCGGTTCAACGACAACACCGGCACATCCAGCTTCAATTCTCACAACACCTCGTTTTTCCGGACAAAATCTATGTTCAATACTTCTATTAACCATAACCATTCTACCATCCTCAAGCTGTGTTGTGTACCCTATAGTAACAACATCTCTTGATGATGTTGGAAATACTGCTTTCATCTTGACGTACTTTTTAGGGAAACAAAAAGGGAGATATATAAAAAATCTATTGATTTTTCATAAAATATATAGAAACGTATACTTGATTTTTTTTTAAAAAAAAATTTTACCTGAATCCTAGTAGATTCGTCGATAACCTCAACAATTCCGGCTTCAGCGGTCATAGGATCCCATTCGGGCCTTCTTCTGACGTCGGCCAATAAATCAAAAGTAGTCTGAGGTGTATTTTCCATCGTGCTTGTGATTTTATAACAACAACTTGATATTTTATCGTTTTTATAAACTTTGATATCCGACTCTTTATCCTCATAAATTAAATCCCATAGTGAATCATTTTTTGTGTGAACGAATTCTAACATCGTATCTAGTAAATTTTCAGTTATTTCCGAGTATTTATGTTTTGAAACTAAAAGTAAAAAGAAGTTTAATGTTATGTAACAAAGTCATTTTAGTTTTCGTGAATTAAAAAGAAGAAAATCAAATTACCGTTTGCAAGCGAATTACTGGCCGAATGTTGTGATGAAGAAGACTGTTGATGTACATCCTTATTATAATTCACTTGTCGTTCAGGTTTTATAGATCTTGTATGATTATTATTATTATTATTGTTATTATTATAAGATTGGTTATTCAAAGAATTTCTTGAAAAATAATTAAGTATCGCCGTAGATAAACTTGGAATTCCAAGATAATGATGATATGCAAAAAAGAAAACCAATTGAAAAAATATAAAATGAAGACTATCCAATGATCTCGATAGGATATCTGAATTTTTTTTTTTTAAAAAAGGCGAATAAATATTAGTGACCATAAATAGAGAAAGTTAACATTTTGTTTCACAACTTACGTCTATTTATTTGATGCAATATCATAGGAGGAAAACCCAATATCACAACTAAAGATGCTATGCTAAAATTATTTTGTTCCGAATTCATTGTTTTGGATGCAAAAATCAAACTTAAATATAATGGACAACTATTGATTAAACAAAATTATTTGAAATCAAAAAAAAAAAAAGGTTTGTAAAAGAAGGTTCTTCAATGTAAGAACAAAAGATGATCAGATCAGTTTATTTGAATTGATTTGCCAACACAAATGTTGTGGAGTGAAAATTAGTGCATCGACATCTAATCTAGTTAATCAAAAACGTTTTTTGTAGATGTAATGTATGACCAAGGCGCATGCCGTGTGTCACGTGAATAGAAAATATTGCAATGCATTTAATCAAACATTTTTTACTTTTAAGGGATGCAGGATATATATATATATTCCAATGAAATGTTTGTGGCGCAGTGGCAAATGGACGTTAAGACTGAAGGGATTTAAACCGTTAAATGATAAATTAAAATTTCTTTTTAAAGGGATTTGTTGTTGTATACAAATTATGTTTTTGTTTGTCCATTCAGAACGACGTATTCATGATGCTAACTTTATTTTTAAATTTAGCAAGTTGGATGAGAGTTTTAACATGACAAATTTCTTTAATAGAATTCTTTTTAATAATAGGGTATGGTAAATAATTGCACCAATCATTATCCAAACAGGTTTGTACTTACCGCAGCAAATATTACGCCATCGTGCTAACGATTTTTCATGTCCTTCCATAAACATGGTAACGAATTCTTTATGCGGTTAACCCGTAAAAACTTTAAGAGGCTAAATATTGTTCTATTGAAAAAAACGGATAAAGTGGTCATGTATCATTTCATGATACCGGTCATTTTCCGCAATTAAAGTTCCTTTTGTGAACCCTTTATAAATTTCATCACATGATGATTCTGTTTTTATTTTTTTTGTTAAAAAGAGACTTATCCCAAAGGAATGATTATATACAGTATTAAAAACGATTTATTTCGGTTGTTTTGGCGTTCTTTGTTCTTTCTGCAATGCTTGTTTCGGCAAGGAATCTAGCCCTTTCCAGCCCTTCCATGTTTTATATGTGCTCGCGAAAAAGTCCCCGCATCTCCAGGAGATACATAACCATTTGTAAAACACGTTAAAGGATCCTTGAACGAATTGTCATATGATTTTTGTGAATCAAAATATTTTTTGAAACACATCCCTAAGTGACTTACACAAGTTGGGTTTCTCAAACCTGTAGTCAACAAGAACAAGATAAATCATGCAAGTAAAAACAGGTAAGTTTCTTGTTATTTATTTAAATGATTTCATAAATCCTTAAAGAAAGATGAATTTTACCGATTAAGCAACTAGATAAGAATAAAGTTGGGTTCTTTAAAAGTAGGTGGATCAAATAGGATTTACATTAAAGTCATGATGATAAAGGAAATCCAATTACGAAATTTATAGAAACTTGGCTCTTTATTTTTAAAAAACCAGTTTTTTTCTGTTGTCTACTTTAAAATATATATATATATATATATATTTAATAAAAAAAAAAAAATAATTTGTTATTATTATTATAATGATAATACGAACGTTTATCAATGGTATCATGGTCTATAATAAGAACTCAAATATGCGTTACGTTTCACTTTATACAAACCAGAATAAAAAATAATGCGATTCATTTTTGGAAATGTTTATTTTTTATTTTATTTTATTTTATTTCATTTTCGATGCATTTGACACGTGACTAATAGTAGCGAAACCACAATTATAAATGAATGATTAAGATGGTTTGGAACACAAAACCATTAATCAGAGACAATTTCCATTCGCAAGCGAATTTGTTTAATAAAAAACAATTTAAAAATGACACAAATAATATTATTTTTCAATTCAAGGGATCTTAGTAGATGTTAATAATATGAAGCGTTGCAGGCTCATTTTGTTTTAATAATGCTAAGTCGGCAAGTTTTTTTTTAAAAATAACGTTCATCAAAATTAATCTTCCTTGTTTGATTAATTAAGCGATGAGGAAATTAAAGGTGACATATACCAGCTGATCACACGAATGGGAACAATGATTTAACCGAAATATTTTTATCTTTGATTTGTATATTAATACAGGGTGGTAATAATAGGAAAAAATTGGAATCGAACCTGTGTATTTAATTTAATGAAATATATTCTAACTAAAATTCTTTTTTTTTTTTTTAAATTCGAGAAATGATTGGTAATATTTCCACCTTGGTTCTAACTATTTTGGGTTATTTCGCAATTGAATAGATTTTTCTTATTATTTATAAAGAATGGAATTTTTTTCTTTTTTTTTTTTTTTTTTTTTTTTTTTTTTTTGGTGTTTGGTTTTTTTGGTTTTTTTTTTTTTCTTTTTTTTTTTATACTTTTTTTTATTGAAAAAATTTAAAACGT